GGTTGTATAGCAAGCAGAGAATAGTATTTGTACTTCTATAGAGACTGGTTTATGCACACGTTTTCTCACAAGTTCCTTTCTGCTCAGGCTATTTTTCAATCATCCGGCGGCGTGAGCTACTACCAAGCTAACCAAGACGATGCTGAAGTCAAAGTATAGAAGTTTCAACTCCCCTACCCTTACTTCCACATATATCTAAGCACACACACACACACACACACACAAATATTTTAATAAGCACACTCCATTAGGACAAGAAGAGAGACATGGCTCCTCAAGTTTTTCGCACCCAATCTCTGATTCCTCCGTCCCACCATGCACTCTTCCTTCTTTCCACCATCCTCATATTTCTGTCCTCCAACACTATCATATTCTCATCGGCACAGGCTACCAACAAAACTGAAGATGACCGGCAAGCCCTTCTCTGCTTCAAAGCTGGCATCTCCAAGGACCCCGCCGGTGTTCTTGGATCATGGCGCAATGACTCGCTTAACTTCTGCAGCTGGCGAGGGGTCAACTGCAGCACCACCCTCCCGATCCGTGTCGTGTCCCTCCAATTGAGGTCCGCGCAGCTCACAGGAACACTATCCAGTTGTACAGCTGCCCTTACTTCTCTATTTCAGTTGAACCTTTGGAATAATAAGTTATCTGGAAGCGTACCTGAAGAGATAGGTGAGCTTCGAAGCCTCCAAACCCTGATGCTTGCTGGCAACAGGCTTTCAGGTAACATCCCTCTGTCACTAGGTACAGCTGCATCTCTTACATATGTCAACCTTGCAAACAATTCTCTTAGCGGAGCTATCCCTGATTCCTTAGCAAATAGTTCATCACTCAGTGAGATAATCTTCTCACGTAATGACTTATCTGGGTTGATCCCAGCTAATCTGTTCAGCGCATCCAAACTTGTTGCTGTTGACCTCCGGTCGAATGCTCTCTCCGGGCCTATCCCACATTTCCAAAAGATGGATGCTCTGCAATTTCTCGATCTTACAGGGAATTTGTTTTCTGGTACTATACCAGCATCTTTAGGAAATGTTTCATCCTTGCATTCACTCCTGCTAGCACAAAACAACTTGACAGGATCAGTTCCGGCAACTTTGGGTCAAATTCCAAACCTAAACAGGGTAGATCTAAGTAATAATATGTTCTCGGGATATGTCCCAGCCACACTGTACAATGCGTCATCAGTCACACTCTTTAGCTTAGGCACCAACAATTTTATTGGACACATACCTTCTGAAATTGGCCACTCACTTCCAAATCTTCAAACATTGGTAATGGGAGGCAACGGATTTCGTGGACCAATCCCAGATTCTCTGACCAACATGTCAAAGCTCCAAGTGCTTGATCTTTCAAGCAACTTGCTGACTGGCGTGGTGCCATCCCTAGGATCCTTGGCAGACATGAGTCAACTGCTTTTACGTAATAATAAACTCGAAGCTGGCGACTGGGCCTTCCTTACCTCTCTGACCAATTGCACTCAGTTGTTAATATTATCAATGGATGGAAATATCCTGAATGGAAGTTTGCCAAAAGCAGTAGGCAAACTTTCAACAAAGCTTCAGCGGTTAAGCGTTGGAAGAAACCAAATTTCTGGAGACATACCAGCTGAGATAGGCAAGCTTGTAAATCTCGCTCTGCTTGACATGGGCCAGAACATGCTCTCAGGACAAATTCCCATGACAGTTTGGAACTTAAGCAACTTAATTGTCCTAAAACTTTCCATGAATAGGTTGTCAGGTCAGATTCCATCAACAGTTGGTAATCTTGTTCAACTCAACCAGCTTGATCTTGATGGCAATGAATTATCTGGAAACATACCAGCAAATATAGGACAGTGCAAAAGGCTTGCTATGCTGAACATGTCAGTTAACCGCCTTGATGGATCCATACCAATAGAACTCTTTGGTATTTCTTCCCTTTCGTTGGGTTTGGACTTGTCAAACAACCACCTGACTGGGCCTATACCACAGGAAGTTGCTAACCTGATCAATCTTGGCCTCCTAAATGTTTCCAATAACAAATTATCTGGTGGCCTTCCTTATGAACTTGGCCAGTGTGTTCAACTGCTATCCCTTCAAATAGAACGCAACATGATCAGCGGGTATATTCCTCAGTCTTTCAGTGCACTGAAGGTCATACAGCAGATAGATCTGTCCGAGAACAATTTAATTGGTCAAATTCCACAGTATTTTGGGAACTTCAGCAGCTTAAATTATATTAATATGTCATACAACAAATTGGAAGGGCCAATCCCGACTGGTGGCATATTTGGAAATTCAACTGCAGTATTCCTGCAAGGCAACACAGGGTTATGTGCAGCTGTTGCCATATTTGGACTGCCCATTTGCCCCACCACCCCAGCAACAAAAAAGAAGATAAATGCACGCCTGCTGCTGATAATAACTGCATTGATTACTATTGCTTTGTTCTCTACTATATGTGTTGTTGTCACTGTTATGAAGAGGACCAAAACTCAACCATCTGAAAACTTCAAGGAAACAATGAAGAGGGTGTCATATGGGAACATCCTTAAAGCCACCAATTGGTTCTCTCTAGTCAACCGGATAAGCTCAAGTCATACAGCATCAGTCTACATTGGTCGATTTGAGTTCGAGACAGATCTCGTGGCCATCAAGGTGTTCCATCTCAGTGAGCAGGGTTCGAGAACTAGCTTTTTCACCGAGTGCGAAGTTCTGAAAAACACCCGCCACCGCAATCTGGTTCAAGCTATCACTGTGTGCTCAACCGTAGATTTCGAGGGAGATGAATTCAAGGCTATAGTATATGAGTTCATGGCAAACGGTAGCCTGGACATGTGGATACACCCAAGGGTTGGCAGCTCAAGGAGGCTGTTGAGCTTGGGCCAGCGGATAAGTATTGCGGCTGATGTAGCTTCTGCTCTGGACTATATGCACAACCAGCTGACACCTCCTTTGATTCACTGTGATCTGAAACCGAGCAATGTTCTGCTTGACTACGACATGACCTCACGCATTGGCGATTTTGGGTCCGCCAAGTTTCTCTGTTCAAGTATCGGCAGACCAGAAGGCTTGATTGGTGTAGGAGGAACAATCGGATATATCGCTCCTGGTAAGTTGCGCTTTTTTCTTTCTTTGAGATGACTGTTGAGCTTGATGCTGAACTATCTTTGTTTTGTTAGTTTCACAAGCACTTACGCGCATTGCTCCTGTTTTACAGAATACGGGATGGGATGCAAAGTCTCGACAGGTGGCGACGTGTACGGCTTCGGCGTGCTGCTACTGGCGATGCTCACGGCGATGCGACCTACGGATGCACAATGCAGCAACGCCCTCAGCCTCCACAAGTATGTCGATCGAGCCTTCCCCGAGAGGATCGCTGAGATTGTAGATCCCCATATGCCATCCGAGGAGGACGAGGCGGCTGCTTCTCTGCGTATGCAAAACTACATTATACCTTTGGTCAGTATTGGCCTGATGTGTACCATGGATTCGCCGCAAGATAGACCAGGTATGCATGATGTCTGTGCCAAAATTGTTGCCATGAAAGAGGCATTTGTCGAGACCTTGTGATTACGACAACTAGTGGGTCGAGCAGTGAGATGTTAAAGGTCATGTATATACATTCAGAAGAACAGTACGGTTACTACACTACTGTAATGCTATAGGAGTGAGGCTCAGAATTGGATATACTTATTACAGTAGCTGTATCACTTGTAGAATAATTCCAACATTTTTTGTATGTATCTGGTAAATATGAACCATTATGCTATGTGCCCGCTAAAATAACCAGGGTAAATATTTCTCTTTTTATCTCAGATTGAAGTTATTTTTTTAGCATTTGGGAACGAAAGTTGAAGCTCTTTTAAAACTTTGTTTCACTAAACAACGAAGGTGTGATTTTCTGAGATGCTGATTAGTTCATGTTTTTGAATAAGTGTTGCCAATTTAATTCTTCTTTTGGAGCCATGAATGTCAAATACTGAAGAACACTCAACTTTCAAACCAGATAATTTGGCCTCTAACCAGGCTCAAAGCGGTTTGATGGTAGTAAAAAAAGCAATTAATAACAGATAAACCTAGGAAATGTGAACAATAGAAATGTGTTCAAAAGGACTATTTGTTTCAAAAAACAATGAAATAGTGGGGGTTAAACAAAAAGTTGATTAGTTGAAGATAAAATACTGGGAAAACTAAAAGAATAGGCAACATAAAGAGGAACATTTTGAAATGTTTATTAAAAATCAAGAAACATGATGTTTTTCATGAATGCTCATACAAGACTTATGAAGTTCCAAACATGTTTGTGAAGTTCCAAAAAAAGAGAGTTGTAAGCAATAAACATAGAGAAAATGAGGAAATATGAAGGGAAAAAAAGGAAAACATGTTTGAAATGAGAAAAATATTATTTTAGTTCTGTTGCAGCATGTTGATGCGGTATTTAAGGAAAAAATATATATTGTTTTGTAATAGTAGAGTGCATCATGTATTTAACAAACTGGAAGAAACTTTGAGCACATTGAAAATATCAACAATGTTTTTTAGGCCTTGTACGATGCAACGTGCTTTAGCACTACTAGGGAAAACCCTACTAGTAGCGCTTGTTTTGTAGCTAGCAGTAGCGCTTGGACAAGCGCTACCACTAAGGCGCTACAGCTAACTATTAGCAGTAGCGCTGGAATGCTAACACTACTGCTATACCAAGTTAGCAGTAGCGCTTTATTTGGTAAAGCACTAGTAGCAGTAGCGTTTCTTCTGGAAAGCGTTGCTGCTAACTTTTTCTATATTTTTGAAAATACAGCTTATTTCCGTTGTGGTTTTACATACAGTACTTTCATTATATGATTTTATGACCATGATTAGTTATTATATATAACAGTGGGTGAAATGAACATGGAGTAGATTCAAGTGGAGGCAACATGTGGTGCATGTCAAACGTACTACTAATCCAAACTTGATCTAGTTTGGATTAATAGTACTTTCGATGTGCACCACATGCTGCCTCCACTTGAATCTATTCCATGTTCATTTCATCTACTAATATATATAATAACTCATCATGCTCATATAACAACTTAGCATCATGCATCATCGATCATAATAATAAATAACTCATCATTGGTATCATAATAACAAGTCTTACTCATCATCATCGATCATACAATTTCTACTCGATACCACATCATCATCATAGTCATCTAACCAATCCTACTTAGTTGTTCTTAGCACATAATCACACATGATCATGAGCATTAGCTAGAACCTACTACCTTCTCTTAGGTAAAATAGCATAAAACAAGATAGGCCCTTACTCTCCATTATGGAGAATAGAGATTATCCTGTCTCCAATTCTTGCACTTCGCCTAATGTTGCTTCCAAGTACCTCCTTACGAGTGACCATACATTTGTGCCAATCTTTGATTGTCATGTCTTCATTGCTTTTAGAAATCCGATATGAACATGAGTGATTCGTACGATGATCTAGCTGTATATTCAAAACATCAAGGCGACCTTTCTGAAACATCAGATGAGGCACACACTCCAGCGGGGTTATCTGTTGAAAAACATAGTAATAACTTTGTAGTTAGCAATGTAGTTCAGTTTTAGAAGAATTATGCAAAAGATGCACAGATGTCGTAATACTGAAAATCTTACCATGAGATCTCGATGGATGTTAGCATAGTTCAACACGTGCACTAGTGGCACATGTTGACCATAATGTGGAGGAGTTTGATAATAGACATTGTAATTCTCAAGATCAGTACAAAATGTGACCAGATGATTTTTCTCCTGATAAGTTAACTCAGAGCCATCGGTGTAGTAGGTTCTGTCTACCATCTTCCGCACATTCTTTGAAGAATGAAAATAAGCTATCAATGGAAATAAGTTGTCAATTATTTTGAAATAAACAATATAAATTACTTAATAACTATGTTTGAGAAACTCACATAGGGGTAGAATTGAAAGCGTATCAACAAGGACCCAAATGTCCAAATTGTCTACCTCTGAAAGGATCGATATAGTTGACTAGAGGGGGGGGGGTGAATAGGCAACTAATAATTTTTAGCTTTTGTTTACCAAATTAAACTTTGCATCAAAGTAGGTTGTCTAGATATGCCACAAGGTGAGCAACCTATATGATGCAACAACAATAAGCACACAAGCAAGCAAAGGATATAACACAATATAGCTTGCACAAGTAAAGGTGAGAGATAACCAAAAGTGGAACCGATGGAGACGAGGATGTGTTACCGAAGTTCCTTCCCTTTGAAGGGAAGTATGTCTCGGTTGGAGCGGTGTGGAGGCACAATGCTCCCCAAGAAGCCACTAGGGCCACCGTATTCTTCTCATGCCCTCACACAATGCGAGATGCCGTGATTCCACTATTGGTGCCCTTGAAAGCGGCAACCGAACCTTTACAAACAAGGTTGGGGCAATCTCCACAACTTAATTGGAGGCTCCCAACGACACCACGAAGCTTCACCACAATGGACTATGGCTCCGCGGTGACCTCAACTGTCTAGGGTGCTCAAACACCCAAGAGTAACAAGAATCGCAAGGGATTAGTGGGGGCAATCAAATTTCTCTTGGTGGAAGTGTAGATCGAGGCCTTCTCAACCAATCCCATAGAGAATCAACAAGTTTGATTGGCTAGGGAGAGAGATCGGGCAAAAATGGAGCTTAGAGCATCAATGGAGCTTGGGAAGGAAGAGGTAGGTCAACTTGGAGAAGAAGACCTCCTTTTATAAGGGGGAAAATAATCCAACTGTTACCCCCCCCCCCAATCAGCCTCGCAAAGAGCGGTACTATCACTCCCCTTCGCGGTACTGCCGTGCAGACAGGGAAGGCCAAAGGCGGAGCAGGATCCGGACCCAGTGCGGTACTAGCAGCGGTGGTAGGGGCGGTACTACCGCTTGAGAGCGGTATTACTGCCTCTACTGCCGCTGCCAGTGCCGCAAAACCCAACACGAGAGGCGACACCCTCGAATCGAGGCGGTAGGAGAATAGACCAGCAGCGGTACTACAGCCGAGAGCCCTCAGGCGGTACTACCGCTGCGTAGCAGTACTGCCGCCTGTGGCTCTTGAGTGATACTACCGTTGGGGTCCGCGGTACTACCGCTGGGACCAAAAATCTCGGGAAGTAAGGAGAGATCCTCCATCGAAGTGGGAAGGCTCTGTGGGTGCAAAGGGGATGTGTACGTGTTGATTCCACCATAGCCTTACCAATGCGGACCCCCTCTTTATAGTACGGTGACTCCTACGAAACAAGTCCACCAAAACTGAAACGAAAGAGCTACACCGTGTTCGCTTGAAACTCCGAGGGGAAGGAATCGTCTCGTGCCAAAGGATGAATCTCTGAAATACTCAATGCACACGATTAGTCCACAAAAGCATTGTCATCAATCACCAAAACTACATAGAGAGAGACATGCCTTAACAATCTCCCCCTTTTTGGTGGATTGATGACAACCCGGGATTTGCACAAAGGTAGGACATGAAAGTAAAACAAATCCCAAAACCACAAAATATAGACGGCCCCCCCCCTGAATGTGTGCACCTAATTAGAGAAGCCTATGGAATGCAAGGTACACACAATAGGATCAACACTCTCCCTATATTTTATAGTCCGACAACATAAGTAAAGGTACATATATTTAGGATGAAGAAGGGTATGTGTGAGCAAGGTAAATAATAGGATAAGCATGCTTGACAGACATAGATAATAAGGGATAAGGTAGCATATGTCTCACACCATATGAACGGGAGGTCTCACAAGCACAAACCAAACCAAGGTAAAGGACGAGAAAAGAGTTTGCGAGAAAGATAAAGCGAACAAGCCACACAAACACACGCTCACAACTCGACAGCGACAAATCCCTAGACTCTCCCCCCCTTTGGCATGGAGACACCAAAAAGGCAAAGAGCGCTACTACAGCTCCAGGTGGTAGCCAACTGGGGATCTCTAGCATCACATCCCAGCGGGATCGTCTGCACCACCGTCATCAGTAGGAAACTGCTCGGTGTTTGAATCGGTCCACGAGCAGTGCTGCTGAACCCACTCCTCCTCATCGGTGATCTTTCCCTCAGATCCGCTGGCAACTATTGCACCTAACTGACGCATGAGATGCTTGTGACAGCTCCGGGCCTTCTTCTCAAAAACATGACCCATATACTGTCCATGAGACTCCATGCAGAAGAGTTTCTTCATCTTGCGCTTGATCTTCTTTGCCCATGAGGGCTCCACTCCAGAAGGCTCATAATCCGCATCATCGTCAGCATTAGCCTCACCCTCTGTCTCCATGTCACCAGCTCCAGATGGAATCCCAGACTTAGGAGCCGGGGTGCCCCAGTTCTCCTTCTTCCTCAGACACTTGATCTCATGAGAGACTAACTCTCCAGTCTCCAACACAACATTAGGATAAACACGCGCCCACACCTTCTCAATTAGCAACATGATGAATGGATGATAGATAGGTCACTTACGCTCCGAGATGGCTGAGAGTAGTTCAGACCACATGACATGAGAGATATCCAAGGATTCTCCAGTGTTTTCCTCCTTCTCACGCTGGCAG